AAAATTCTAGAATCACTGGCAAATCAGTAGTAGTTGGAAACATGGAACTGGAAAACCAAACAACCAGTAGGGAAGGACCGATAAAAGCAGGCTAAGGGCAGAGGGTCAGCAAACCCCATACTCTGGCCAATGGCAAGCAGGTACTCTGTTGAAGTAAGGACTACAGGTGAGAACTGAGATAACACAGGGAGAAGAGATGGACAGCTCCCAAGCATGGCATTCTGGTGCCTTGTGGGTGGGCTCCTGACCCTGCATGCCTCACAGAGGCACTCAGTTCAGTATGCCTTGCTGATTATCGCCGCCACAGAAACGTCTTATACATTTTAGAAAGAATTTCATCAAAACAGTTAACATAAAAGGGTTGGGGTAATTTACTTGGAAAATTCAGTCATGAAGAACACTGTCTTAATTGATGATGATATGAATAAATCTGAGCAGCATCCAAGTCATCGGATAGAACTTTCTGCGGTGATGGGGGCATTTATTTGTGCAGCCCGAAGGCAACCATCAGCTGCCTGTGGCTGCAGAGCACTTGAAAAGTAGCCAGTGTGGCTGAGAAACTTGCAATTTATTCACATTTACAATACAAAATTTTTAATTCAATGAATTTAAATTAAATGTAATGAGGCCAGATACAGTGGTTCATTCCTGTAATCCTAGCAGTTTGGGAGGCCAAGGGAGGTGGATCGCTTGAACCCGGAAGGTGGAGGTTGCAGTGAGCTGAGATTGTGCCATTGTACTCCATCCTGGGTGACAAGAGCTAAACTCCATCTCAAAAAACAAAAATTAACTAATTAATTTAATGAATATAAATTCCACAAAAGTTTAATTTATTTAAACTTAAATAGCCTCATGTGACTACTGACTCTCTTACTGCATAGATAATTTGTGAGATTCATTGGCAAGTTAGGCTTATAGTAAAAATCTATAGGCTTTGGGCTCATAAGGATCAGCCTTTAAGTCCTCTCTAATCACTAACTCTGTGACCTTGGATTTATCTCTTTTCCGGGCCTGAACTTGTTCATAAAGTGGGAATCAATAATATTTATGCTTAGGGTCATTGTAACTACTGAAAATAAAACATGTAAATGGTTAGTACAGAGTTTCAATAAATGGCAGTTGTTAGTATTAAATGATGGAGGTCCATATTCAAGAACATAATTCAATTGTTTTGATCTTCTAATTGCCAGCCTGAACAAGAACTATGCTGAGAAGCAAGCACCATGAGGGAACCCCCCAGGGGCTGTAGTCCAGGATGGAGTGGAGTGGCCTCTGAGTCCAGCAACTAACAATGCTTTTCTATTTAGTGATTCTCTTATCTCAGCCTTGCTGTGAGCTGCCTTTTTTCTGTGTGATTACTTCTAGCAAATCCTCCCGCTCCTCATAAGGTGCATTCCTCGCTGCTTTTTTCTATTTCCTCGGAACTATGGTTGTTAAGGGGAAAAGACAAATTGAGCTTGTTCAATCAATAAGTTTAATTTTACATACAATTCTAATTCAGTGGAGTCTGATCTGAGGGCTGAGGGTTTCTCAAGTATTTTTCTGTGGAATTGGGTGCACAAATTCACAGACCTTATTTACCTTAAGATAGTTAAGTTATAACTAATTAAGTTATTTACCTTAATTAGCCCTGCCAGATTTGCTACAATCTCTTGGGCAGATCTTTAAAAAAAAAAAAAAAACACATGCCTATCTGTCCTCCCTCAACCTAGAGACCTGGCATTTGTTGGGCGTATGACGGGTGATTCTGTTGCGTGGTCTGAAAACCTCTCACGTATGCCATGATTTAAGGGGGATCTGTGGATCTGACTGACCATAAGTTAATTGAGGGACTGTTGTACCACTCTTGGGCAAGAAAATGTGTACAAGCATCTCATTGATCCAATACAGGCATGCTGGGGGTACTCTGGATATTTGATTGACATTTTCTCTGGCATAGCCAATCACTGGAACAAGTGCCACTTGGTGCTGGGCCTGGATCCCAGAACTCTTTTTTATTTTTACTTTTTACCTTTCCTCCCAAGCTGCTTTGGTTGTCTTGTTTTCAGAGATGGTTTACTTCCTTGTACTCTCCTTTTGTGAGGCTTGCATCTATTTATGATATATTATTATTCAGCTCACGGGCTTTTATACATTTACAGTTTCACTAGTTGTTGACACGACTTAGGTACATACCTATCTGGAGAAAGATTAGTGAAAACTCTGAATTCATGTCTTTCCAGTTTCACATTTTCTTCCTTTTTTTCTTAGAGATGGGGTTTCATCATATTGGTCAGGCTGATCTCGAACTTCTGACCTCCCAAAGTGCTGGGACTACAGGTGTTAGCCAATGCACCTGGCATAACCAATCTCACATTTTCCCATAAGAAACCATTCTGGCAGTCAGAGCAGTAGGGCTAATAACTGCATGTCCTTAGGCTCCCTCTCTTGCTAGGAAGAGTCCCACTGTCCACAGTGACCTGTGAGTAATGATTAAATTACATACTGATTCCTGTATGGATGCTTGTTTGGGTACTAGTCAAATGTTGTTATATACTTTTGGAGACAGAAATCTGTGAAACAAAAGAATTCCAAGCCTAGGCTAATGGCCCACTTCTGAAGAATAAACAACACAATAAAATTCCAGTAGAAACAACTAATTTCAACATTTCCTAAAAATTTGTAGCAGGCCTTAACATTTTCAGTCCCCAAGATAAGAAAACTATGTCCTAAATCAGCAAACTTTAGGGTTTATGACAGCACGTTGTATTGGCATAATTGATAAGACAAAATATTTACTGAAATATTCCAGCATAGATGTTTTATTGTGTTCTCTCTGGCTCTTTAAATACATCTTTTATTGGTTTTTGGTTTTGGTGAGGACAATTTGGGGCCATTAAATCTACACTGGGTGATAGTAAAACCCTAAATGAGAACCTTAGTAATCGGAGTTAGGGCTTCCTACTAAGGGAATATACTTCCTACTTTGGCATATACTTTATCATCAAGAAGTAGATTAGGCAATAAAAAAGCTAAGAATTGGCGGGGTGCAGTGGCTCATGACTGTAATCCCAGCACTTTGAGAGGCGAAGGCACATGGATCACCTGAGGTCAGGAGTTCGAGACCAGCCTGGCCAACATGGCAAAACACTGTTTCTACTAAAAATACAAATATTAGTTGGCCATAGTGACATGCACCTGTAATCTCAGCTACTGAGAAGGCTGAGGCAGGAGAATCGCTGAACCCAGGATTTGGAAGTTGCAGTGAGCCGAGATTACGCCACTGCCCTCCAGCCTGGGTGACAGAGTAAGACTCCGTCACCAAAAAAAAAAGAAAAGAAAAGCTAAGCTCATTGGTTGCATTCCTGATTTTCAAAGCATGGATCATAGGGGAATCTTTTATGATTTTTTAAGTGAGTCTTTTGGAAAGAAACAACTCAAAATGGCATAAGTAAGAAAGACAATTTATTGGTGCATTCTGTCAGAAATTTAGGGATTTGACTGGTTTTAAAGGTAGTTACCTACAGATGGTCATAGATGTCATCAGGGTTCTTTTCTATCTCCATTGCTTAGTGTGGCTTTTTTCTGGTTTTGTTTTATTCTCTAGTACCTTGACTCCAGCTGCTGGGTTGATTCCAGCTGCTGCATGCTCCTATGATATGGTCTCAGGAGCTGCCCTGTCAGTCAGGGCAAGGACCCTGCTCCTTTGTTCCCAGAGGATATTCTAATTGGCTGGCCTGGGTCATATCCCTCACAATGTCAGGAAGGTCTGTGGGCTAGTCACACCCACTGGGAGGGGGAAATTCCTAAAAGGAAGGGATTGGGGCAAAGAAGTGGGGGGGAAAAAAAAAGTATACTTGAGAGGGAGAGAAGTTGGTTCCATTTGCTATGGGAATGGTGAAAAATAATTTCTTTCTACTGTTATGTGACTTTCGGAGTGAATGGAGACCACAACCTAATCTGTGATCACGAGGAATGCATTAATATGCCAAAGGAAAGTTCCATTTAAATCCCAGTATCATGTCACTTTCTTAAAATGGTAGTCTTTTAAATACCAAAAAAGTTTATGATAGAAATCTGAGTTTTATTTAGTTGGCAACTTCTTAACTACTATGAAACAATAGATTCATTGAAGTGAAGCACAATTCAAATATAAACGATCTTTCTGAGAAAATGAGATGAATACAATTGTATTCTCAATGTGCTAGAGATTAAAAAGAAATCCTTGCTAAATATTTCCTAGAAGAAAATCATTTTGTGAGTCCGTATCCCATTTAAATTCATTTTGATAAAGATGGATTTTATCTTCTAGAGTTTGCAATAGCAAAGCTAAATTACAATGTGTTTAGTCTTCCTAAAACGATCCCTTTTCTGAAACAACGAAGTTATTAGGCAAATCTAAGTAGAAAGTATTCTCAAAAAACATATTAGGCGATTAATAATGATGCACCCCCAAACACTTCATTTTAAAACATCAACTGGCCCACATTTCAGAGGTAGTACATCATGCTTGATATTTTTCGTTATTCTTTACTATTTTCTCCAGACATTTTTTTTGAAGGCTTAAAAATGCCTTCAGAAATGAAGTTAGGACGCTCCATCTGAGTATATGAAAGTTGGTAAACAGAAAACGTCAGGCACCAAAACGTTTGGAGGGCTTGACAACCAGGTGGGGTTATTTCATTCAGGACACAGGCTCTAGGTCTCCAGTGCTGAGCGGATCTGCACCTGGGTGGCAGTCCGAGATCCAGCGAGGTCACCGGATGGGAGCGGGGTGGGGGTGCTGGCGTGAGGATGAGGGTGGGAGTGGGGGAGGGGGAGGAATCGGGGGCGCCGACCGAGCGGAGTGGGGGTGGGTCGGGGTAGGGTGGGTATCGGTAGCGGGCTGGAGATGCGGGGAGAGAGGCAGGGCTTGGAGTGGAGGTGCGAGAGGGGCAGGGACCCGGAAGGTGGGGTGGGGGCGGGATGCAGGCGGGGCGGGGCTCTCGAGGGGCGTGTGCACTCGCTCGGGGACACGCGCTCTGGGCCGCAGCAGCCGGCTCCAAGTTCCCTCCCTCGTCCTCCGGCGAAGCCTGCCTGAGCCCTCCCAGTCGGTGCAGACCGGACCGTCGCGGCCGCCGCCAGCGGGGCCCTCCGCGGCGCGCGTCCTGGGCCCGTTCCGCCCGCCCCGCCCTCGCCCGCGCCCTGCCCGCGGCCCCGCGCGAGGACTCGGCCGCCTCTCCAGCCCGCTCTCGGCACTCCGCCCCTAGCGGGCCCTGGCTCTCCCTCCTCGCGGTCCTCGGGAGCCTGGCGCCCGGCTCGGGCCGCACCGCCGGGGACTGAGGTGCGCGGCCCAGGTGAGAGTGGGCCGTGGGGGCCGGGGTTGGGATTCGGGTTCAGGGGTCGCGCCGCGCCCCGACTACGGACAATGCGGGAGTGCGCGCGGCCGGGCGGCGCGGAGCGAAGCCGGCTCTTCGCCCGCAGCTTCTCCGCCGGGGCCGGGGCGCCGTTCAGCCCGGCCTCACCGGCCCAGGCGGACCCCGGCCGGCTTTCTGGCCCGCCGGGGGAGGCGCAGCGCCGCTGCCTGCCCTGCGCCCGCTCTGCGCTCGGCTCGGCTGCGCGTCCTGGGCTCGGCTGGGAGGCCGGGCACGGGGCCGGGGCTGGAGCCGGGGCTGGAGCCGGGGCTGGAGCCAGGGCGGGGGAGGCTGGCCGCGCTGCGGAGCGGAGGCGGACTCCGAAAGCGCGCCTGCCGGTTCCTGCTGGAAGAGTGCGACTACGAGGGATGGGGACTCCATTCAGCCGCAGCTCCTTGAATGGTCTCTAATCTCAGTGTTAAAAGACTTTGGGAGTATCAATACCATCTAATCCTTGGCTGGGAATTATTGCAAGAAATGTAGATTCTGAGGTTCCAAAAGTTTGTTTTTGGTTACCCCTTCCAGCTCCTCCCTTGGCGTCAATTGTCTCTGTTTTCTTTGAAAGCATACAGATTTGAAATAGAATTAAATTCTCCGTGGCTCACTCGTGCCTCCATCACCCAGAGGAGCTCATAACTTGGCAACAAAGCCCATGCAGGCTGTGGGAAGCCCCGAAGCCTGCTGCCCAGCCTGGTGCCCTCCTATTGTTTAGAGCTGGAGCTGTACAGTGTAAACGGCAGTGACAGGTCTCCCGTAAGCTGGCTCCTGGGGAAGGAAGGGAGATAACTTTGCAGTGTGCTTAAATTACTCTGGAAAGTGGAAAGAAAACACCTGGTGCCCGGCTTTTTAACCCTTTCAAGTTATTATTCAGATTTATTGAGACACACACACACACACATATACGCACACACACACAGAAAAGTGCAGGCTTTCTTTCCTGCCAAAAAATAGGCAAACTCTGGGTTCTTCCTCACAGCCAGTTTATGTCCTGTGCAAAATCTGGCACACATCTGTGACAACATTGCACTGCTGGTGTTATAAGGATTGCAAACTGGTCTGTTTCTCAAAAGGGAATATGATAGTAGAATAAGCATTTTTGCAATATGAATACTGGGACTTCCATTTTCCTTATTTCCTTTGTTGGTGAAGAACATAGTATTTATTTCGTATTTCCACCGCCAATTTACACGTAGTCATATCTGGAGGATACTTGTATTAATTTATTGTCCTCATTTTTGTGGCATCACAACCCCTGGTCATTCAGATAAGCTGTTTATTAAGCATAGTTGTTCTAAAATAAGGGTGAGTTAATGGTAAACTAGAATCCTTCGCTCATAACATCCCATTGGTTTACCCTACGGTATTTAATCTGCGGTATTACTATAGGTTGTACACCATAAAGTCTCTAATTCAACAGAGCTAGTGGTGCCTTGTCAACCTGATAATCTATGAAGTGCTTAGAACTGTGCCTTGCATATAGTTCTAGGTGTCAGATAATATTACTTTTAATTTTTCTTATCAAGCTGTTTGTTTCTTTCTGTTTGGAAAATGGTTGTTTTGATTTTTAAAATTCTGATTTGTTAGATCATGATCTATTTTAAGCCTGTGGTTTAATTTTAGATCAGGGCTGAAGTTGGGTTGTTGTTTCGCCTGTGACTGACAAGCTGCTCTATGTATCCTTATGCATGGTAAGGGTTGATTGAATTCATCTTACATAGTGGATCTCTAAGGGAAGGACCACAGTCTTGAATCTAGTTGTGCCCTGGTGCCTTTCATAAGGAGACCTGGTTGTCCTTAAGAGGCTAATTGTTCAAAGAGAAGCCTAGATATTAGGGGAAACCTGGGTTCTGAACCCCATCTCTGACCCCCTCTGCACTCCCTTGCTCTCTAGGTTTAGAATCCTACTTCCAATTCCCAGTGGAAAGAACGATTGGTACAGCAGAGTTAAGTAACTCCCACTGTGTTAAAAGATAATAAAAGATAAACATGTCTACTATATATACATCAACCAGAGCATATAATTCTTATTCATGCTTTAAAATCTTTAGAGCAGGATTTATAACCTAACTGGCTCAGATAAGAAAACTCACTTATTTAAAACTGCTTATTTGCCATGTGTTAGTAACCAAAGACTGTGTTTGCTATTTAGATATTTTAAATGATTGGCAGGAGTTTACTCTCATTTCATGTCCTCCCTTCCCCTTTAACTTTGAAGTGACTTTTTCAAAATTATGATTCCTAAATAACTTAGCTAAGCAAAGGCATGGTGTTAACTGTTGGGGCGCTGCAGAAGCAAAACCGCTGTAGGCGCAGTGGCTAGGCAGTAGATGGCGCTGTGGACAAGGCTGCTGAAGGAGGCAAGGAGGCGCTTGTATGGTTTAGTAGAATCCCAGGGATTATTTTAGCAATCCCATTGTTTGCTCCCCCCAAAACATACTCTTACCAACCAGACACTATCCAGTAATCTTTTTGAGAATACAGTTTACTTTTAAATTTGTACTTTATATGTTCAACATTTATAGACCGTTTACCATTTTTCTCTCTGAAAGCCATAGCATTTTAGGTGCTAGACAAATACTGCTTGTAAAAATATTATTAGTCAACTATTCATTTTATTTTATTTTCCCACACTGGAGTCAGATTGATCAGCTGAGCCTAGAGGATTTCCAACTAATCTGACCTTTTTTTCATACTTAACTTTTTAGGAGAGAGAAACAAATCATCAGAAACCTACTTGCATCTTGAATTTAGTTAAGAAAACAACTTCCTAGGGCCAATTCTCATTTACTTTGATTTGCATCATTCTTCTGGCTCCTGGTGTGATGCAATGAGAATTGATATTCAGGATGAAGACTGAAGTTTTGCAAAGTCATGACTCAGCCAAGAAAAATACATTCATTCCATTCGGTACAGACACCAAGACTAGAAAGTAGACTCAATAAAAGGATTTTCTGGTTCATAATAACAGTTATCTCCAAGGGCTGGTTCTGGGACCAGCAAAGTCCTCGATGGTTGATGGTGGGTGCGTTCTCTTCTCTAAGACACAGTAGGTACTGTTATACCCTTTCTATAATACAAGTGAAGGGAAGTGACTTGTCTGAGTCACATAGCTAATATGTAGCAAGGGGTGTGTGTCTCCAGACCCTATGGATCCTTCTTCTGTCATGTCAAGAGGAATAACTTCTGCCTCGTACGTTCAGCTGCTGGAGGTGTTCCGTGTTCCATGTCTTCTTTTCAGATTTGATGTCAACAAATCTCATAACTCATTGACATACTTTGAATTTTGTGGTTAACATCGGATTATCAAAGAGTCTAAAATGAGAAAAAGTATGCCACTTTCAGTTTTCAGAGGAAACGTTTTAAGATTTCTCAATACCTTGTTAAAGACTGCTTGTTTTAGGAGGGTTGAGGAGACAGATTGCACGTTTAACTTCTTTGAACTATGTGGCCTCTGATAAAAATGTCTTAGATTTAGATGTAATAAAGAATGTTGGGTTGGTTTTTGGCTTTGTTGCTCAGGTGATCTGGGAACAGCACAGCTCCCGCTATGTGCAGTGACTTTCTTTCCCTTGGGTTAGAGGTAGGCATATTAATTTTGATCACGTAAGTACATCAGAGGGATTATGATGATTTCAGAAACATTGAATCAAATCCTCATTCTGTATATTCATATATTTTATTTTACACTATGGCAGAGCCTAATCTAATTTTTTTAAATGGTGATTTTTTTTGTACTGAAAACATTATAGAAATACAAAAATATAATATTTAGGAATTGTTCAGAAGAAAACACATATTATATCCAAAGTGTTTATCAAAGAATCTAAATGTAGCATTGACTCTAGACTTTTAAAGGATAAGTTATGAGATGATTTGCATGAAAGATTTTAGGGAATGGATGTAGGAAACTTAGTTTTTCATTCTTTGTGAATGTTATCATCCAAAAGATTACAGATGATTAAGATACACACAAAGCTTCTCCGCTGTTGGATAATTCTTTTTCATCCTGTTTTAAAACAACCTAGTTTGTTTCTGAATGCTCCTTTTGTAATATAAAATTAATGAACTTAAATCATGGATATGTCATTTTGACATACTTGTTTTCCTTCTACTTATGGGAGAAAGGAATTGAGTGAGATTTTTGCATTTTTCACATTTTACAGTTTGCCTCATAAGGAAACACTCATAAGAACCTGACATTCAAAGACATAAGCCTTGTTTTTGTTGTTGTTCTTGTTTTAAAGGAAACTTTAGTAGGTGAAGCAAATTTTCAAAGTATGTTTGGTGATAAAAACAGCGAACATGTGGATGATTAAACAATTTTGAACTGGCATTAAATCTGGGACTTTAAAATTGTAAACACTTTAGAGAGAAGCTAAAAAATGAATACCTAAGCGAAGGGAAACAGTATGTCATTTGGCAGACAGGTTTCTGGAAGAATTAGAAGAATCCTGTGGTATGTTTTATACATCAGGGCAAGATCAATGGTTTTGAAATTGTCCAGTTTCAGATAAAGCTTTTAAAAATACAATTCACAGGAATATGGGAAATTTTTGAGTAGTTTTGTTGTAATGCAAACCATTATTTTTCTCACAGTCCCATTAGAAATTTATTTCATCTTGTTAATTTTCTTTTTTAGGAGGAATCACAGATAGGCTTCAAAACTATCATTCACGCTAGTGAATTTTTTTGTCCCATTAACTGGAAGTTAATATAAATAAAAAATAAATAATTATGCAAAAGAACATCATTACAAAGTTCCTCTGCTATGATGATTATATTGAATAGATATTGATAGAGGACTTATTGTGTGCCAGGCACTTTGAATAAACACTGGTCAGGAAAGACAAGTTTCCTTCCTCTCTGAGGCCTTATTGTGTAAAGTGGGAAAATAGATAATAAATTAAATGAATAAATGAAAAGCTGACTTAAGGCAGTAGTAA